AATTTACCCTGCTGGAACTTCAGACAGGCGTGACCAAGGCCTGCCCGTTCTTGTCCTGCTTGTATCCAACCCTTGCACACAATAACATTCAGAAAGATAAAAAAAACCAAAACTAAAAAAGTAGACAACAACTACAAAAACAGTCGTGGGTGCTGCTTTCCTGAGAAGCTTTTTGCTCTGCTTGTTAGGCAAACAACAACCCAACAACCCCCAAATGATTAATTATTAACTCATCTTTGTTGGTTGCCAGCAAAAGAAAAAGCGGATAACACTTCTGACTAACTAGAAAACCTGAATCCACACAATTCCTTGCAAGAGCATCAAAACACAACTCTTTCCCTGAATTTTAGAAAACTGCCCCGCTGACTACCCAAACTCCCACGGTCTTCAAAATCTTTAAAAGTATCCGTCAGTGGATTTCGCTCTCCTTTTTATTGTCTTGATTATTACTATTTAATCTTTCACCTCTTCAGTTATGGTCTTATGATTGGGATTTTACATCTTAAATGAAAATGAAACTGATGAACATAAAGTAAAAGGCTATCATAAAGTTTATACACCACTAAAAGTGATTCGCTTTATGATTTACTGCACCACTGCGCACTGGCAATTACAGATGTACCATAGCAGCTTTACAGCATCCAATGGAAGCGTTGCCTAAAAGATAACTGAGGTAGCTATTCATGTGTTATCACAGTCAAAATGCAAATAACATAATCCAGGGCAAGTGAAAGTAGAACAAACAGTGTTTTCCAGAAGATTATGAATTATTGTAAATGATTTCAGGTCCACTTTTGAATCTCCTTTAAAATGAAATTACAGACACAAAAGGACATGAGTTGACACACAGGCTGTTTTGTGATAGGAAAACCGATTAAAATGCTGCTTGATCATTTGTTTCAGGACTACAGGACAAGTTGAAACATTGTAAATTACTGTTGCCAACATCTCTGCAGACCCAAAAAGAAAAAGTAAAGGTGATAAAGGACATTAAAACAACAGCTTGCTGCTGCAGAAATGTGTGCGGTGCTGGGACATGTTCGTGCTGTTTTTCATCTGCTGATTTTTGGCAACTAATGCTTGTTATTGTGCAGGACATGCCGTACTGTGCAAAAGTCTTTTGATAACCTTAATTTCTCTTTATTTTACTGAGGACATTGGGGAATAGATGGTGTGATTATTTGAGATATGCACAAGCATGAATAAAGAAGGCAAAAACAGAGTTTATACAATTCTAAAAAGCTTGAAATTCAATATTTGGTTTCATCACCTTTATTCTTTAACACAGTCTGAACTTGCTTAAAAAGCTTAGCAGTCTTCAGGAATAATTCTCCAGGCTTCTTGAAAAACATTCAAAGCTCTTCTTTGGATATTGGCTCCCTTTTGTTTCGTTCTTTGTCCCATACTCCTTCAGTAATGTTGATGTACAGGTATTGGGGAGGCCAATCCATGGCCTGGTGTGTTTTGGGAATCACTGCATGCTGAAAAAGTGTTAAGTGGCTTAACAAAATAAAGAAAAGGAAAAAAAAAACATCCCTCTGGAAATTGTCTAGTATGCACAAATTAGTGAACCAGTAGAGTTCCAGTTTACATGAATGTTTTTCAGAAGGTATGAAATTCCAAAAAAAGCTAACTATTATTGGCACAACAACAGGCAGGGCTCACAATATGGGCGTGGCTGCAATGAATCTATAAACTTTGTATCTTCATACACCAATTCAATATCTGACCACAGGTGAAACATGATGAAACAGTGTGTTTCTGTCCCTGAGCTAAGGCCAGAAATAGTCTTTTGCAGAAACGTCATAATGTCACAATAATGTTAACTTTTTATTTTTGGGATGCATCACCACGTCATTGTGTCCTGCCGTGCAGCGGCATGAAAACAACAAAATAAGCTGTAGTTACTAAATGTACATGCAAAAAACAAAACAAAAAAATCTCTGAGGAAACGAGGAACTCACATTATTTTTTCATAAGACTGTGAATGGTTTTGGATTGCATGCAGGCTGTTTCAGTAGCTGTAATTTGTATTTTTCTGAGTCATACTGCAGTAATACAAGCAAAATGTTAGTTGTTGATGTCTTTGCTGAAATAAAAAAGGCCTTCCTCGAGTAAGTTGTCATCTGCATCTTGCTCTAAAACCCATATATCACCGCCAGGATTTCGAGAACCCTCACTGTTGTGCACGCCACCCATGCTATGTAGACCGTAACACCACTGATGGCTTTTAGATGATTAAAGGTGCTTGAAAAAATGCAGCTGTTATTGGATTTAATGGGTGCCCTGGTGATATCTTGTGTGTATTCACTCCTCCGTGGACATTCTGTGCAGCATGCAGCGTGAAGGTGTGCATCTGTCTCTTGATTCTCTCCCTGTTTCACAGAAATGAAACTCATGGAGCATGTGCAAACATTGAAGTAAACACCAAGCGCATTATCATGTAAATGCAAGACACGTGTGCATACACTGTTGCAAAACTGCATTGCTCAATGTATCATGATGCAAATTTAGAGTACATCTGCAATGCATGCAAGGAAATCCAACACTGACATGCAGCACAAGCAGAAGGAGCTGTGGCATGCATCCAGTGTAATAAAATGAATGTGTTTCTCCTCAGGGCTAGAGCCTTTAACTGGCCTAACAACACAGAGCAGAGACAAGTAGACCCAGAAGCATTACAACATGCAGATAAGCGTACGAAAAGTTTGATTAAGCTTGTGAGGTATTCTCTGAGCGCAACCAAGAAATGCACAATTTATGAGCCAAGCAGTTATTTATCAAATGCAGCAGTCGAACAAAGACTCAGTAGCCTGTTTGAAGGTCAGCTGTGCTGCTGCCTCAGAAGACAACAACCCTGATAGAAGACCGTGAAGTTTCACAATGAGCCGTGAGATCAGTTCTTAAAAATGTAAAGTGATGATTGGCCTTTCTCAAACATCCTCTTCAGTTCTGTGAATTGTTTAAATTTGTATGTGTTACTACAGCAACTTGCACATGGACACTAAAGTTTTCCACGGTAATGCTGTGTGAGGGGGTGTGCGCCAAATCCCAACAACAGTCGCTTAAATATCCTACACAGAGAAAACAGGGAAAACTCCAGCAATCAAACAACCAACGCCCCGTGAGCAAGAAATTGGCCACAGTGGAAAAGAAAAACTGCCCTTTAACTTGAAGAAACCCCCGGCACAAAGAGGTTGGAGTTGAGGGGACAGAGACGAGACAAAAGATGCAAAGCTTATCATGGATGTGAAGCTCAAGAGCTCACAGACAGAGTTGGGACATATTTAGAACTATTACTTCTGCTCGTGCAAGCACCAGGCTGATCAGACTTGTCCTGTTATAAAAAGAAACACGCTCACACTCCTCACACAGTCTGCCTCTGCTATCATATGCCTAACCGTGTGCATGTTTCTGCCCCTTTAAGTAATTCACATCAGCTGATCTCCAGCCTTTTCCTTAACTTTCAGTTTACTCGTTTTCAGCCTGACAAAAATGACCAGCTGAGGAGCGGTTCCTCTCTCTGTAATGTGATACTGAGTATCAACAGCTGCCACCAATAGTTTCATTTCTCTATGTCTGGCAAAACTGTACTGAGAGACTTGAATGCTCGCAGCTGTACGAGCAGAAAAGTAAATTTGACCTCTTTGTTGTTCTTCACGCTGCAACGATACTTCTTTAGAAACTAAGCAGAAGTGACCTCACTGACCACTTTGTCATTTGTGATACAAGCCAAGCCGAGAAGCCCTCATTCCAGATAAAGCATCGATGAAGTACTTTATCCGCGGTAACAAGAAATCTGGGAATTCTTGAGTTCAATCGGACATCAAATGAAATTCAAATTTATTGCCAGATTTCTCTGAAAACATGCTCCACGTTACAGCAAACGCAGGAAGAAATGCACCTCGAGAAAAACACTAAAGCAAGGTTTTCTTTAGGATTCAAACACAAATGAAGCGCCACAGCTGGCTGCTGCTGCCTCCACGCCATGTTACACTTGAAGACTCACACACAGACACGGGCACACACTCGATTGCTGTTTCACACACTTATTGTGAAACAAATGGCAGGCATAGTACCCTTTTCTGAGAAGTACTACACCTCACATAATCTCATTGGACAATCAGATTTGAATATTCAAGATAAGACATAAAAAAGCCACCATGAGACTCCAGTTAAAGATAATTATTAACTTTAATACAACCACTAGCTATCTGAAAATCTGATGACTACATATAACTACTCACCTTAGCTGCAAGGAAGTGAAGTTCTGCAAGCAAAACAGTGAAATTACTGTAAGGATGTCATGCTGTGCACATTTCTGCAATGAATTACCCCCAAATGTAAAGACCCTGCAGAAAAGAGCCAAATACAAACAACAGAGAGTTGCATCTGCAGCACAAGCATGACTAATTTACAAGCCCAGACCTGTTTTGCTAAACGTGCATATATGTTTTCTTTTTAACATTATTTCTGCAAAAAGATGTGCATATTTGCACTTTTTCGACATGTTAGGACACAGGAATGCTACATGTCATCTTTCGCCATTAGTATTTGATGGAAAGGGAGATGCTTATCAACCTGCAGGGGCAAAGTTACAAAGAAAAAAAACCAAAAGGACTGATCCTGATTGTTGATGCCATCTCTGAACATGAACCGGCATGCATGTTTAGGCAAACAAATCTGAATTTACATCATTTGAATTTTTTTTTTCAAAAAAAAAAATATATAATTAAGAAAAACTACAAAAACTACAACCCCTAATGACGAAGTCAATCTAAACACCAACAAAAACTGCTCCCATTACTCGAATATACCACCTCTTTCTGTAAACGTCCTGCTGTCATGTGGCTTTGCGGTTTTTTTTTTTTTTTTAATTCTTGAAATTTCAGTTCAAAGAAGTGAAAGAGTAAGCTAGCGATCGTCCTCTCTTAGTTTCACTTTCGTTTCTAGGAAAGGAGGAGGAGGAGGAGGCGGAGCAAAGCCTGTTAAAAAGCCTGTGAACTGTTTACCAGGCTTCACACACACAATCTAACGGCTGGAGCTCAAAGCCCAGAAGGTGTAAAGGTTAACCCCAAATGCAACTGTGCACCCTGCATCCTGACAACCGAGGGATTATTTGCAAGGAATTCTGCTCTTTGCCATCACAGCTTTCGCACTTTGGGATTACAGACCATACGGATCCTTAAACCGCTACATCAGTCAGAACAAAACGGTGAGCCTTTATTTCTCTCCATATATATATTAAGAAAAGAAAAAAGAAATAAATGATATATTTGGTTGGGATGCTTTTGGGGGGTGGAAAATGGCGATGGAGAATCGTAGCTGCTTTTGTTTTATGGGAAAACAGCGTTCAGAAAAATGTTAAACCATGGATCAGGCTCAGGTTTCTCTGAGCGCAGTCTGGCTGAAGTGAACGGTAATCATGAGAAACTTTACAAGTCAAGTATTCGTCTGAACGGCTTCAACATCGTCTCGGATGTAAGAGTAAACGGCCGGATATCAGCACAGGTCGTCACCAGTGTTAATCATTACTCTTTCCTTGAATTTAACTCAACTTCCATCCACTGGTGGCGCAAGTTTTTTTTTCTTTTCCTTTTAGATCATTCGCGTTAAAGAAGGAAGGAAAATACCATTAATCACACACTGGATACTGTTGATTTTTTATGTATAGCTTATAAGAACAGGATGCTTTAAAGAAATCAAGTCAATGCATTTTAGTGTAAATATTTTATCTGAATTCTTAGTTAAATGATGCTTAAGTCATTACAGAAGAAGCAGTAAAATACTTTTGTGTGTGTGTGTGTGTGTGTGTGTGTGTGTGTGTGTGTGTGTGTGGAGGGGGGGGGGATACGGATTGTACAGTAGTCTGGCTGTGGCAACCATCACTGTCGATTTTATGCCGGCTTAACCGCAGATCCAAGTCATAACAAAGCTGAACTGCTCAGTGGAAACTACAAGGCGTTTCTCGTCTATCTGCGCACACCAGCGCTCTTTGTGCTTTGAGGAGTCTGGGTTTTTTTCAAAGCTGCTGTGAAAGTGATGCTAGCCTCAGTTGTGAGTGAAAAAGTCAATGACCTTTCTGTCTGTTTGTCTCTCAGGATGTCAGTGTGGTGGTTAGAGATGGGAGAGGGTCTGGGGCCTCTCTCCCCTGTAGGATGGTAGCCGACGGCACGGTCGAAGGCCATGACAAGACCCGCTTGTCAAGCTTGTCATCATCATCATCCTCATCCTTGTCTTCCTCCTCCTCCTCAACACTTCGCACCGAAGTGGAGCAGCTTCAGCGTCAAGCCAATCAACACCGTAGAACGCCCTCCGTCTATCTGACTCACTTTCCGACGTTCACCTGCAAGGAGGACTGCAGAATCATCACAGACACAGCGTCCAAGCTCGAGCGCTGCGGCTTCTACTGGGGTCCCCTGGGAGTGGAGGACGCTCACCGCATGCTTCGGGACGCCCCGCTGGGCAGCTTCCTCATCCGTGATAGCCGTCAGAAAGACGTCTTCTTCACGCTGTCCTACCACGCCAAGACGGGACCGGTCAGCGTGCGCATCGACTACAAGCGCCAGAAGTTCTCACTAGCGGGCAACCTGCGGTCTTTCCAAACACTCTTTGCCCTCTTGGAGCATTACATCAATTCTCCTAAGAAGAGCTTGAGCGTCCCCTACAGGAAATGGGAACCGACGCTGCAGGAGCTGTGCAGGAAGCGCATCTTGGAGCTGTGTGGAGGGGCAAGCCAGGTTCCAGAGCTGCCGCTCACACATGTCGCCCAAGACTTTCTGTTGGAATTCCCTTACAAACTGTAACCAGCTTACCATACAAACTGTTGACAGTATTATTTATAATTTCAAGAAGGTCGCCCTTACCAAGTAACAGCAAGGGATTGGTAAAGCCTGTCTGCGACTCAGTGGAGATTGAGACTGCTGTGATATGGTTACAGGGAAAACCCTTTGAGCTGAAAAGCTCCCAAATGCTCGAAAAGGGAGAACACGTTAGCAGTCGAGTGCAGACAGCCTCCAGCTGGAGTGGGTTTGTGGCTGACATTTCAACATATATTACCTCTAGAGACTCAACTCCCAGTTTCACATGGACAGAGCACCTGTTGCTCTTGAGGAAGTATGAAAAGTTGGGATGTGCTGCATTAAAAGAAAACTACAGACACAACAGAGCTATTTTAGAGATGAAAGAACCGGTGGGCTCGCCTGTGAATGCCGCCGTTCCACTGGAAACTGTAGTCCAACATAAATATTATCCAAGGACGTTAAGAGAGCGGACATTTAGACGCATGGAGGGATGGCGGAGGGTACTGTTGCCATGCCACAAGGGAGATATATTTTTGTAGCAGGTTTAAATACTCTAATAATGTGGAATGTTTACATCACACATGAATGTCAATCAGCACTGACTCTCGAACTGTCATCTGTCTCATTCTTGAAAACCCAACGGAGGATGTCAGAGTGTCGAAGACAGGCCTCAAACACATGTACTGTAACTCTTAGCTCTCCTGTCTCCCTCACAAAGCTCACATGTGAGAGTTTCGTGACTGAATTGAACATATTTTTTTAACATGTCTTATTATTCTATTTTAAATAAAGTATTTAAACTCACTGCGATAGTTATGTTTTGCTTTTTAACTTTTCCTGTCATTCCGCACTGACTTGTGGGAGTTTTGTGGGAGTTAAGTGAGAGAAGGAGGGACAAACACACACACACACACACACACACACACACACA